CCTTTCATTTATATATCATCTACGAGGTCATCATCGTCATTATCATCATCATCGTCGTCGTCATCAATACCATGGATTAAGATGTTCAGGTTACAGGGATTGAAATGTTGCAGCTTTTTATATTACACAGCAGCTTTGGAAGTCAGTTTAAATCATTATTTACAATGTTCTAGCCACTTGTTTTGATAGTTGATATTAATTGTTACAGGACCTAATTAATTACGCGTGTAATCTGTCAATCTGCACCCTACAAATTCCTTGGGGGAAAAGAATTTTTGTTGTATCACTTATGATCTTTAGTTGTTAATGCCCAGTATTAAGATCAACGGGGGAAAAGAATTTTTGTTGTATCACTTCTGATTTTTAGTTGTTAATGCCCAGCATTAAGATCAACATAGGCCTATAAACAGAGCAATTACAAAAGAAGCTTAAATGATTCTGACAAAGGCGAAACATGCATCATCATTTATATATTAAAACCAAGAAGTTTCTGAAATTGGTTCTACTTCCAGCCTTAGGTGATCGGATTGGAGTAAACCACCTATTCTTTTATTTATTTTATTTTATTTTATTTATTTATTCATTCATTTATTTATTGCTCTGGTTTACGACGTCTGTCGTGACGTTCAATCAACTCTGAATGTGCCGCTTGTGTGGAGTACAGGTAGAAATTCGCGTTTTAAAATTAATTCACGTCTTAGCTTAGAATATACTTGCTGAATCCAAAGACAGAAACACAGTTAGGATAAGAAGATGATGGACGAAGTGGATCTACGGGTTAATGCGAGATCTGAACTGTTACAGGGGACTAATTTGTTTGGGAGAGGGACTGCAAGTATGTAAACCCGCATTCTGACGGCACAGTCTCTATCAGGTTCACAGTTCTGATTTGTGTTTGTTTTGACAGGTTTAACTTAACGTGAGACGAGATCGGTTTGTTGTTGAAACAAGCTCAATGTAGTTGAGTCATTCAGGAGAAACTGATTTGCTCTCAACTTGCCAAAACATTATGAACTGTTTCCGAAACCGGGAGGTTTATTACCGTGATAACGTGAGAACGCTATCCCTCACTATCCTGAGCCAGCTGAATCCAATATTTGGTTTACTGAAAACATATATTTGTTACAAGAACGTAATTTGGTAAGACGCCAAATTATATTGAACGTATAAAATCTGGAGCAGAGATGAAGACACAGTTGTCGATATTGTTTGAAGAAATGAAACGTGTAAATGTACAGTTGAACGAACAGAGACGCCCATTATACCAACTATACGACCACTTCAAACGTTGAACACATGTAACACATAAAATATATTCACTGCTAATTATCAGGCGTCCACATTGTAAAATATATTCATTTACTGAGTGAAAATGAAGCAAAAGTTCATTATGCATTTTTAAGAATGTTCTCATGCGACGTGTCTCAAAAAAGGCTTTAAAAGGAAGGGCGAATTTAGTGTATTTAGTAAGCCAATTTGAAATAAAGAAAACAGTGACACTAATTCCACTCATGCGTTAAACGCTAGGTGTGATGAAGATTGATTAGCGTACAACCACACGCGCCGTGCGGCATATTGTGTGTTTCGATTAAGCCTGGTTTCAGTATGTCATCCGTTGCGGTTTGTACAGAACGAGGGAGCATCCGAAGCATATAGGAAGAAGTTGTAATTTCTTGTGAAAAGAGAGGACGTAGTCTATACTGCGTTCCAGCGTTTTTGGCCGATCAACTTCGTGAATTGGAACCTCGGAGCGAGTCACTTACCAGTAATTTGCTGCAAGGGATGGCAGCAGGCCCCGTACAGTACACTCCAAATAAAATATCACCACGGTATGTAACGCAGGAAAGTCGATTTCACTACACTACACATCACTAGAAATTTAGTACTACAGAGAGTGTTAGATAATTATATCTTACTCACAACTCTTAGGTCCTCTTCCAATTTTCCCACTGTTCAACAGACCATCGCTTTCTGACATATCACTCGATTCATCACCACCGCTGCTGATGTCCACTCCATTAACTTCAATTATATGTATTAGTGACAAAGCGTGGCTAGGCGTGATCTCATTTCAAAGCGTGACTACGCTTGACATACTGTAACGGCGTGACGAGCGTGGACATAACTAACATAACCTAACATGTATTTAAAAAGTCGGGTTTTAGGTGTGAAATGGATTTATCTGGTATAGGACAGTGAACTGTAATATTGCTAATACTGTAATTAACTTTCGATTTATGTGGAAAGTGGGAAATTTATTCATTAGCTGAGGGACTCACAGTTTCTCTTGAAGGACGGTGCTCTATGACGTAAGGTTGATTGGTATCCAACGAGTATGTTAAAAGAGTTTGTCTCTCCTTGTTCTATAACTTGAAACAAGACTGACTTTTAATTGGGGGTATCTTTCAGATTGAAGTCTTTATCTAACTTGTTATGACGTGGTTTGGTATTAACCCAGACGATACTAAATGCATTTAGCAGGTGAACTGCGTTTTTTAAATACGATGTGTTATCTATACCTTAATTACATTTCGCGAGAAGCATTTTTTATTTATTTATTTATTTAGTGTTCTGTCTGACGACAGGTCCATATGAACAGGATCCTTCCATCCTTTTCTCGGACTGGGACCTGTTCATATACGTTCTTGGCAGATGATCCAGGAGTGGTTTGCCATTGCCTTCTTCTGTGTGTGTGAATGGAGTAATTGTTGGGATGCCATGGAGGAAAACTCCGTGTTGCCTAGACCACGGCCTTGCCCAACACAAGTTATAAATTCGGGCACCGCCGGGAATCGAACCCGAGACCCCAGGATTACAAGGCCAGCGTTCTAACCGCTAGACGGATTTTAATTATATTCCAGTAATAAAGTTGCCTCCTTAGTGCCAGGTTGTCTGTAGGTGTTTAATAATAATTTAAATCATGTTACATTTGCATAAGGAAGCAACTGGCATGCAATAAAACATTGTTACACTTCTACTCGTACATTGTATCAGATTCAGAGATTTTAATCATGCAGAGGGATCGTGTTTCTTTTTTAATTCTGGCCTTTGAATGGCGACGTGTTCGCCAGTTTCATGCAGTTTAGTTTCATTTCGATGATTCCACAGCGCCGGAGAAATTTATCAGACAAGTTCTAAGGCGGAACTGTCTGTAATATCGGATGTTTCTCGGTAACTGGACATTTTGAGATAGTAGTGATATTGAAGGAGACGTATGAAGACAATGTTAAAATAAGGGGCTTAAGAAATATAGCTGAGTAGAATATTTGTACCTGAGAGAGAAGAAATGACACACGGGAAAACAAAACGACATTTCACATTATTTGAAGGGCAATCACATCAAGGATGAGCAACCTAAAGGGGAAACATCACTTGGGAGGATAATAATGAAAAGAATTTTAAAAATACAGTGTGTGGGAGTCGAATGTATTAAGCTGTTTTATGATGGGGTTAAGTGGCAGGCTGTTACGAAAATGATAAAATAATTACGCTTTGTCTAGCTTTAAATGGTTTTACAACTTGTCAGCTGTGGAGTGAATGGAAACTATTTTTTTTAGAGAATTTGAAAATAATGTTTTGTGAGAGAAGTTTGATGGCCGGGAGCACAATAAGTAATCATAAATTTTTCGTTCATTATAGCGGAATAAATTTAATTAGATTAACTGATAATGCAGCACGCAGCGGGAAGAAATCTTGTAGAGAATTAGCAAAACAAAGTACTTGAATGACAAAACGCCGATTAGGCCCGGATTGAGGTGTTAATGTCCATCTTCTGTTTTACGCTTTGAAACGTAATTAACGAAATCGCGAGTTAGTTTCAACACGTGTGAGCAAGTATTTTTGTGATGAGCGGACAGCTGTCTCTCTCTCTCTGTAGCATTTTCGGTTCTAGGCTCGGTTAGACCCTCTGAAATTTGTGCTGTTAAAAGAAGCTGGCTGAGGACAAGTCTTTCACAACGCATTTTTTTTGGTCGGGCGAAATATTCAAGAAGAAGGCTAGGAGTGAGACAAATGAACTTTCAACGACTGTTTTCTGTAGGCCAGTGTTTGGACACTTGAGCTTCTTTCTTCATGAAATTTTGTATATTCAGAACAATTTCCCTCTTTTCATAAAAACAGCAGGTTTTGATCTTGTCGGTGTCACAACTGAAGTGACATAAAGTTCACTCCAATCACTTGACACTCGTCTGCGTGGTATTTGCACCGTTGAGGGAAGGGTCTGCTCTCAGGACCTTCTCGGACTGACATAAGAAACAAAACAAATAGCCCGTCCATGACACCTGATATGACCAGTTCCACTAGCTTCTCCCCCGGTCAAACGTACTTTTATTACCATAGTCCCTGCCCTCTTTGGTATGTGACTTAGGACTATCTGCTTGTTGTATATTTTCCTTACATATTGGACTGTGATTAAATTAGTAGGTAATTTTGCGACGATCTGTGAGGTGCAGAGTTTGTATAGCCTGAAATGAGATCGAATGGTAATCATGAATCAGCATCTAAGGATTTGGAAGGAGGCATAAACCTTGATACTGTTTTAGCTTTCTCTGGCGAGACCGAAGAAAACCAGGACAAAGCTGAGCCACGGCAGATGGTAATACGTCCGATTTTCGAAACGTGCGTCTTTTCAGTTCAAGTCTAGACAGTTGCTACTGCACAGATGTACTTCGCGTGTTTATTGATAAATATATTCTTTAGTTTTATTGTATTTATTATTATCCCGTATTTAATACACATTTTCTGTGCTTTCAAACATTTTATATTGAGTATATTGAACACCGCCAAAAGTTTATGTGTGAGCATTACGTATTGCAGAATTCGTTTCAGAACTTTGTCCTGATCCTGCCGTCAGTGGAAGGGTGGATTTCATTTGTTGTCACAACAAAAAATGTGATAACAACAGCAACATCAATAACAACAACATTAGAGGGAAAATTCTCCACCCCCGTCCCTCACAAAATGATGCTCGCTGTATAACAGGTGTCCCTCGTTCTGCGCAGGCGTGAACCCGTACCCGAGCCCCTCCATTCCACAGCAGAGCGCTGCAGGTTTCCTCACAATCAGACGTCGTCTCGCTGACCCATCTCACCCGACCGTCTCATCTGACTTCTTTATCAGCAGTCACAGAATTTGTAGCCACCCTGTCGCAGTAACTCCACGGGACGGCGGACCAGCTCGTGAGCGAATCTGCTTAAGCCAGGTAAGAACCGGATCTTCGTATTGTTTTCTGGTATTGGACCAGTTTTCTTTTATATTTTGTGTAAAATGAGAATACACTTTTCTTACTGTTACGTCGTCTTTGCTAGTTGATTGTATGTATACACACACGCGCGCGCGCGCTCGTACGAATGCAAAAACCGTGGTCAAATAGAGTATATCAGGATAGAGGATACTTTGGAGACATTCGATTTAATAATTTCCTTATATTAAAACGTGTTATGTAATAAATATGTGCTGTAAATAGTAAAATATACGTATAATATCATAATTCTGATAAATTTCTAAGTATTTAACTGTCAGACATAAATTAATACATCTGTTACATTATAATCAGGCTTTTATATTAAATAGGATATTTGATTAGTCTATTACTTCTAATGCGGATTTCTTTAATTGATTTTTACATGTTAGTCGGTCATTTTGTAAAATTACGATGGTAATCGGTGCAGAGTTTAAGATTTTGAGAATAGATCCGAATATAAAGGCAATAAAAAAGTTAAATTACTCAGAATGCTCACATTTCTTACGCAGAGAAAAACGGGTTGAATGTTTATGACAGCTGAGCCTACTTAAAAGTTAATTTAATTTGTCCGGAGACAGGAACTTGTCTTGTCGACACGTGTTACTGTGAAGGTTTCAAGACAAACCCTTTGTCAGCGATGGAGAATATTTACGTTTCTCTAGATGTGTTGAAATTTACTTGAGTCCAGGATCGGAAATGTTAAATTTCTATCGTCGAGAAGTAATAGATTTACCAATTCGAAATTAAAGTGATATTTTATCCATCAAACTGTAGCGTTATTTTTGTTGGATAAGTAAACTAAGCAAATTTAATATGCAATTATAACACCGCAGGATTACGTTTCTAGAGTCTAATATATTTTTTGGGGGGCTAAATATTCCGTTTTGGCATATATTGCTCTTGTGTTGCGTTTTGCATATTTGAATACTCTAATGGTTTTACCATATATCTGTAAATATTACGTAAGCAATGGAGATTTTGCCTTTCTGGTAGGTATTTGCGAGTGGAAGTTTACTTCTAATTCATATCGAAGTGACAAAGAAATCTAAGACGCTCGAAGATTGCCGACGTGGGTTCGAATCTCACTCGAAATATGGATATTTGTTCACGTCTTTCTGTAACAGGCTAGGTTGTGTAGGTGTGGGCGACGTTCCTCCCACTCCTCCATGGATTTCTATCAATGTCAAAAAAGTTCGAATACCTTGAAGAAAAATTTGCCATATATTTTAAGTCTCAGAGTAAAACGTGTAAAAAATATAAATTCTAATACAATGGTCGGATTTAAAATGTAGATGGGATAAAGGAATTCAATGACTAAACACGTAACACGAAAAAGTTTACAGAATTTTACCTGTGAAGTCTATAAGCTGACTAAAACTGTATTTTATTAAGTAATTGTACAAGAAACGGTTGTTCTATTGAAATTATCGAAATAAATCTGTATAATTCTTTCACTTGTTAGTGCTTGAATTTATTCAATTAATATTTTTCTTCAGAGCAAATGACCACGTTTTACGAACTCAAAAAATAAGAAAACTGATTAGTATGTCCAAATTTGGGATACTTGGCAAGACACCTCAGTTTTGATAATGAATGGGGCTTAATTTATGGAGTGGACGTTGGGAACTAAAATGAATACTTGCAAATGCAGTGAACTAAAGGAAATGTTTATAAAAGATTATTTGTTCTGTTCTTGAATAAATGTACTGATTACTGAGTCAATGAATTCATCGTAAGTTTTTCATTAGTGCGTGAACTAAAATACACAAAAATAACACTTTATGTCACAATATGATGCAACATTATCATCTCACTTTATGTAAATTTGAAAGTATGACATTTGAAAAGTTACCTTAATACGTGCCTATCCACATGCTTACCGCAGATATCAGGACAACAGCTATGAATTGTTTCAAGGCACAATTTAGAAGTTGAGTTTGAATTATTTTACCGCCCTTCCGCTAGATATTATTTATGCTTTTGTAAAACCGTAGCTCCTTATCTACACAGCACAAAGCGCTGAAATGCTACCCTGTAAAATCCTTGTTTTCTTCAGTTTTGGCCGTATTATTATATAAACGTGCGACATTTTGTTGATGATGTTTTTGGAAAGCAGTTATTTGAAAGACAAAGAACATGTCGCGAGAATCGTAACAGAGAAAGATACATTTTAAAATAAGAATAACAAATTTATTATAAGAGTTGATTTAATTACACAATCCATATATTAAACTCATTGCCATTAATTAAAATTATTTCTTATAACTTTGTTCCGCAGTTCAAATTTAAAAACAAAATTCGGTTTTCAAAAAAGAGC